CTCTAAAATGAAGAAGATAGCTATTTGTAACGTTTGTTTACATTCTGACTTTAATCACGTGGATTGGTTCTTCGCGGGAAAATCCAGACCACATGGTTCTGAAAAAAAAGCTCATTCGTTGAAGTTAAATCAGTCGTAATATAAATTACCATTTAGAGCGTAATAGGCGTAGAAACAAAGATTTTAAAGCCAATTAACAGCAAGAACATCTTCCATAGACTTACTATAGAGAGTTGGAGTTTCCCGGAAATATTTATTGCTAGATAGTTTTGAGAACATGCTTACTCATCTAGACATTGTCAAACAACATTTAATTAACAATTTATAGCGATTGTTTACATTCGATTTCCATGTTNAAAATAAATTGTTCAGCGAGTAATGAAAAGCCTCGTATATACAATAACTTAGACCCTGTTTATAAGTGTGAAGCCAAAGCACGTGTGTTTACACGTGATCTCTTGATTCATGCGGTAGTTTTAAGTTATATTAAATCTCTCTCACCATACGATATTTAACATTTTGCAATGTCTAAATCATCTGGAATCTTGCTAATAATAGTATAGCGACAAGTACTGTATATCTACATACTACTTGTTCAACTCTGAAGGTTTTAAAAGAGCGAGGCCACTTGCAACTGCTGAAGTCCCCACCGTCCGAACCATTTGTTTTGAGTCTCACGTCGATTTATTAATAAATAAATATAAAACCAACAACGAGTTGACTAACTTTCCCTGCAAAGTCTTTATAAAGTAAGTTATAACTTATATTATAAAGACTTTGTAACATAAAATGGATTTTTGAGATCTTTCAGATGATCGCCATAAATTAAAACTGATGATAAATGAATATTTTTTTTTTGACTAATGATGATTAACAGCTTCCATCAAATTAATTGACACTGATATTATTGTAGTCTTTCTTTGTGACATTTAACTAATACCTAATTTTTATTTCTTTCTTAAAGATTTAACGCATTCCTAAGTCTTTGTAAAATGCGATTCAAATCTGGTAACGAAGAAAAATAAAAAGCGAACCGCCCGAACAGGGACTCGAACCCTGGACCGCTAGGTTAAAAGCCTAGCGCTCTACCGACTGAGCTATCCGGGCTCTTATCTGTTCCCGGCCTGATAATGCAACAGAACATTCAAAGTAGCCACAAAAAACATTAGAATGGTGGCTACCATTGGAAAAATGATACTTGCCTACGTTATACAATAATTCATATCGCTTTCACAACTTGTAAACTTCCATTCTTACTCAACGTGTTCGACAGGTTGCAAGAAATAAATAGGACCAGAACCGTTGCTAGAATCTTGGGATTTGGAGTAAAAGTTATTGAGGAGTAAATAAGTTCGTACTCAGATCCTAACAAAAAGAAGACAAAGCAGAATACGAACAAAGAAGTTACTAAGTTCACTTTCAACAGAGGAATGTCCAATATCATGAAAGAAATTGCAGACTACAAGATTACTATACAAAAGGGCTCCCACGGTTTATAACTTGCTTAGAAATGACAAAGATACGATCAAAAAAGGAAGAACAATGGGGTATACAAGATACCATATAAAAATGATCAATTAGGACTGAATAAAGAATATATAAATGTCGCCACCAGGGATTTCAGCCAAAGACTTATAGAGCATATATACGATGTAAACAAAAGGGCACTATCCAGACTAGCACAAACAGAGGTTCGGTTGTTGAATGAAATGAGGCTAGGATTGTTAGACCGGTGAGCTCACCGTCTTTAGCAATGGCTGTAGAAAAGTTTGAAATATATTGTTTTTGAGTTACCCGAAAAGCGAAAATGATTAAAATATTTATCAATTGCTAAGATGTATACTATATGTGCCACTATTTACTTTCCTTCTTTATTACTTACACTTTATACTGACTAAAACTAATTCTGTCCTCTTCTTCCCTGGAGGGTAGAATTTCCAAAAACCCTTCATAATGTGCATTCTCATGGAATACTCTATTTAATCGCAGTCAAAAACGCAAAAAAATCGCATTTAAAATAGTACAAAAGAAGTCGAGTTTCTTTAATAATGGGTACGTTCGTAACGTCAAACGAGTTAAACATAAAAGCCTTAACCTAGATGAGATCTTTTAATTTATATGAATGTTTAACGGAATAATATACAGCCTATGCCCACCCTGAATAATATACAGCCTATGCCCACCTACTCTTGTAGTGATTGCAGTGCCCCTGGTNCAGCAATAGAAGCAATTTCCCTGACATTCCATCACTTTTTCTCAACACTAACAAAAATTCCTGACTTTCCAGGTGTGTACGAACCCTGTACAAAAATGAAAAAAAAAAAAGTCAAACAGTCACTGGGTACATCCAGTAAATATATAAAGAAATTTGATTATTTTTTAAAATTACTTTCGTATGTCTGTGCCAACATTTGATAAATTATTGATTCATCTGTACAATACTTTACTTCAGTCGTGTGGATCGCGTGGCCTTTGATAGTTTGTCGATGTAATTTTGTTTTTGTGTTTACTTCCTTGTACTATTACGCAATCATAATTAAGCTAATATAGGTGACACAGAACATTCAAACTAAACTTAGCTAGAATAAACTATAAATTACTAGTTTGCATATCATTAGCATATATTATTTTTGTACATTGTACTTGGCAGACTTAATTCCTGCGATTCTTGCCAAATTTCTGGTAACCCGCATTCAGAAAAGATTGCTCATTACTGCTTTAGTTCCTCAAAAATGTCCCCTAGTTGGTCNACAGTTAAAAGTTTTGTCTTATTCGCATTTTTTACCGGATGCTCGCCCATTGATGTTTAAAAACAAAACTATTCTTTCTGGGTAGTTTGATTCATTCTTGTGTATTATCGGTAGTAAAGACAAATGGCGATAGAAAAAGCCTAGCTTTACGTTGCGTTCCAAATTGCAATTTCAAAGCCTCACGGGAGCCCGATATAAGTTTTCTTCTATTCTCATACGAAAAACAGATGATTATTCGGAAATCGGTCGGTTATATTTACGAGCTTCTCCGAATTGCGAAAGAGTGGATTAGAGTGTTAATAATTGGCAATTTCCCGACTGTCCAGCTCTACGCGAACAATTTACGCTGTCAATTTTAAAAGATATTTTCTTAAAGTTTAAAATGCCAGCAATTTTGTGTGGGACACAGGGTGGGATTTAAGCACTTCCAAGCCCTAAGCCGAACTATGCGAGGCCCCTTACCGACCCTTCGCAATTTTATGAGTCGATCGTAAAAAGAAAAAAATTAAATCAGACTATGTATCCGATTTAATACGGTTTTATCGATTTTTTAAAAAAAATCTATGTTAATTCTTAGAAAAACAAATACTACACAAAATAAAAAGTAAAGTATATTTTGTTGGTTTGTAAAAAAATGTTTATTACAAAATTTAACTTCAATTTTCTTTTTTGTACAAATGTTTGAGGCCCCTCGAAAGTCGCGACCCTAAGCGACAACTTTCATAGCTTTTTACTTGTAAATTCGACCCCGATAGGACAGATGCTAAAGATGTTTTTTAACACAAAGGGTGCAAATATGCGTAGAACGAGCTGGCTTATTTGTTTTCATACCGCGTAATGACGCGTCCCGCTAGCCATAATTGCTCTCCTTCTATAAAATTTCTCGATAAATAGCTACGAGCAGCGTATATATCATTATATCGGACTGTAATATATGATTAATTTTACATTACTAGTTACAGGCGTTCCAGTTAAGGTAGCCATTTTGTAAAAATGAAGCGCCTTCTATACTTCATGAAAAACGCAAATAGGAANGGAGGCCAAGATTTCTATACAAACTCTTTTCATTTTCTGCATATTTCATCTGAAATTTTAAAAGATGTAATTAATAAAATAATCAAAATAAACGTAAATGGCGAGAGAATTTCCTACCCGCTAACATCTATTGCTACTTGCAGAATTTCATTTGCTTCTAGTCGTATATAAATCCTTGTCATCCGGATGACTCTGGCCCACGTCGCCTTCCACCTTTTTCCCAGAACCAATTAAATTTTTGAACTAAAAGAAACAAAACAGAATTTAATTAAAATATATTCATAAATGAAATGCATTCAAATAATTAGAATTTTGTTTCCTCACATTTTTCAGTTAAAGCTACTAGAATATTTTTAAATTAAATTAGACAATTAAATTCTCAATGGAAAAATGCAGATTTGATTGTTTGCAATACATTTTTTCCATCAAGACAATGTGAATGATGAAAGAGATGAAAAAAATACTTTTCGGTGAAAAGTAATTAGAAAAATAATAATAATAATACTAATAATAATAATAATAATAATAACTCGCCCATGGTCACTACCTGGTCGTGGTGGGAGAGCCCAGTAATTTTACTGAACCATAGGGCAATGCAGGCTGGAGCACAAGCTCCTGGTAGGGACACCCATGCCAGTAAGGTCTATGAGGAGAAATGAAGCTAAGAGTGACCACACACCCACATTCTGTGGAGATAATCATTATGGTAGTAACCAGATCGAAGTTTGATACCGGCTCGGACGTCGCCCGGGTTAACAAGGTCCGCGTTCGTGGGTTAGGCAGAGGCTCACGTTCGAAAAATAGGCT